GCCAGTGTTGGTCTCTTGTCACTGCCTTTGAGCAAGACTAACCTTAAAGCTGCTTTTGGGCTTCCTGGAGATGTGTCCAAACCCTTGGGTGGAGGTACAGCCATGTGGGACCATATCATTTCTGGATTTGCTTTCATTGTCCTCATTCCCCAAAGTCTTTGTGGTATTAGAGCTGTTTTAAAGGTTTATTAAGAGTTTTTAGAGCAATGCAGGGATTTTCAGTGAAAATTTTACTTTTTTTTTTGACCTTGTAGTTGAACACGGGTTAAGAGAAATTAGGGTCTCTATCAGAAATAATCTATTCAGTTTTACCAAGTGAAATTCTCAAGGGAAGAAAGTATTGCCAAACATGTTTAATACACTGAAGGCACCCTGCTGTCCTTAAATGTGCTATTTCTTGGATTTTTTCCCAGTTTCCTTATACACTTTCGACAAGACCAAGCAGTGCATCGGCACCATGACCATCGAGATCGACTTCCTGCAGAAGAAGAACATTGACTCCAACCCCTACGACACAGATAAGATGGCTGCAGAGTTCATCCAGCAGTTCAACAGCCAGGCCTTCTCCGTGGGCCAGCAGGTGGGCTCTGCTCTGGGGCTTTGAGGCTCCAGTGGGCTAAAACACCACGTGCAGGCTTGTGAGGGACTGCCAAGAGCTCTGCAAAGGCTGGGTGAGGGGCAGGATTTGTTCCTTGTGTGAGGGATGTCTTTATGAAAAGTAAAACCATTGTGACTTTCATTGAGAGCATGGGCAGAGGGGTTTAAAATCTTTTTTGTCCTAAATCTTTGAGGAAAATCCCAGGTTTTGGGAGAGCTTGGGTCTCTCTGCATTGTGCTTGGTTGGATGTGAGCATGGCAGCTCCTGGAATCTTTTGGCAAGTCATTTTTGCTTCCTTCTCTATAAGATCAAGGCAAACACCAGGTTTAATTCATTCTCAGTGGCACCTCCCAAGTGCAGTGTTTTTTATTTTTCTGGAAGGGTCTAAGGCCAGGTTGGAGAGGACTCGGAGCAGCTTGGTGTGGTGGAAGGTGTCCCTGCCCATAGCAGGGGTGGATGAGCTTTAGGATCCTTTCCATCCTGAACTATTCCATGATTTATTGATGCTCTATGGACTTAAGCAGCGAAACAGGGATGAAGGATTTTCCCTGGGTACCTTGGAAAGCTGATGTTCCTGTAATTGAGCCTGCAGAGGTCTGCAGCAGATGGGCTTCAGCCCCTGCAAAGCCCTGTGTGATAGCCTCTGCTTTGCCTTGTTCTCAAAACAGCTCAAGGTTGGTCTCTCATAGTTTTTACACCTTGCAGGGTCTGAATCCTGGAAATAAAAACTCAAGGAAAGGAATTGTGCAGACTCAACCTGGTTTTCTGTGGGATGGACTCTACTTCTCGTTACATTCATTCTCTCTCTCATTAGCACTATTCCTGAAGTGTCCTTGTCAAGCTGAAATGCAGAAGATCTGAAAGTTTTGAGCTAAATTGTTCTCCATGACTAGCACCAATTATTGAAGTGAGAGGAAAATGTCATCAGATGATAAAGAACATTGAGCTGGGGAGACGGGGGGAATAGATGATTTTCTTGGAAGGAGAATTTTTCTTTGAGTTTCTCCAGCTGACTTCATGTTCTGTACTTTTAGGTGTGTTACACTTATATTGGGGCAGGGAAAGCACAGGGGCAGCATTCCAGAGCTTTACAGGGAAAAAACTCCAGAGGAGCTGGGTGTTTAACTTAGTCTTCAGGCCTCTTTCCCTTCAAATCTCAGTAATCTTGACAGAATCCTTTTTAGCTTTTTTTAATGAGATTTGTTTTTCCTTTCCACAGCTGGTGTTCAGCTTTAATGACAAGCTTTTTGGGCTGTTGGTGAAGGACATGGAAGCCATGGACCCCAGCATTCTCAAAGGGGAGTCTGGAGCAAGCAAAAAGCAGAAGGTGGGCTGCCAGGAACTCCTGTCCATTCCTTGGGGACTACAGAGCTGCAAGTCCTGACCAGGTCCTGCTACCAGGAGCAGTTTAGGTGACCTGCCTTTGAAGAAGTCACACATCTGGCTGTGTCACAGGAGACAAGGAGCATTGTTTGCAGTTCAGTGCAGTCTCCACTAAACTGCAGAGCTGGGAAGAATACAAGGAATAGCCATTTGATCTTTAAGTACCAGTTCATAGAAGCAGCCTCTCTTGAGTTTTTTTGTCTTCTGGATATCCAGTTTTGATTTTTCCTTCTGTAGAAAGGACATGATTTTATTTTCTCCTTTACTTGCTAGATCTTGCTGAAATAAAATAGTTGGGTTTGAACTAAACCAGTAACTTAAAAGCCAGGTTGTTGTACCTTATGACCTTCTC